TGCGGCTGTTTTTTCCCATTTTGAGTCATGCCCCATCAGCAAATGGAGGTCCTGAAAGCTTTCCTCCATCCATGTCATTAAGGTGGACTCTACTTTGAGGAGGCAGCTCTTCTCGTCATATTTTGAGTGTCTTCTAACCTAAGGGGCTCATCTTCTAGCACTAAATCAGACAATGTTTCATTCCTATTCATAAGGTTGTCACTGGCCAATTCTTTGAGAAGTGAATGGCCACTTCCTTCTTCCAAGTCTGTCTTAGTCTGGAAGCTCCACTGAAACCGGTCCACAACGGGCGACCCTGCTGATATTTGAAATACCAGTGGCATAGCCTCCAGCATCACAGCAACACACAAACCACCACAATATGACAAACTGACAGACAAGCAGTGATACATGACAACAATAGAATAAAGGAAAAGAAACACACAGTCTGTGGATGCAGAAAAAATATTTGATAAAACCCAACACCCTTTCTTGATGAAAACCCTAAATAAGATTGGAATAGAAAGGGAATACCTCAATATGATTCAGGACATATATGAAAAGTCAACAGCCAACATTATACTTAGTGGAGAAAGACTGAGAGCTTTCTCCTTGACATTGGGAACAAGACAAGTGTGACTGCTCTCACCACTTCTATTCAGTATTGTAGGAAAAGTCCTAAACAGAGCAATAAGACAAGGAAAAAAAATACAAGGTATCCAGACTGGAGCAAGAAGAAGTAAAATTACTCTATTCTTGGATGATATGATCCTGTATGTAGAAAATCCCAAAGAGTATGCAAGAAAACTTCTAGAGTGCTGTGTATGCACAGGGAGACAGCTCAGGGGGCAGGAGTGCATGGAAGGAAAGACACAGGGAAGAGGTAACTATAGAGAGAAAGTGAGAGGGAAGCTGTTGCAGTGTGGGGAAATTGTAGTCAATGTCATGAGACAAAATGTATGTGAGCTGAATTTGCTCTGCAAACTTCCACCCAAACCACAATTTAAAAAGAAAGAAAGAAAATAAAACTTCTAGCGGTTATAGAGGAATTTAGCAAAGTTGCAGGATACAAGGTCAATAAACAAAAATCAACTTGATTTCTGTACACCAGCAATAAGAAATCTGAAAGAGAAGTTAGGGAACCAATTCCATTTATAATAGGATCTAAGAGAATAAAATAACAAGGAATAAATCTAACAAGGACATAAAAGATTTATACAATGGAAATTATAAAACACTGCTGAAAGAGAATAAAGAAAACTTAAAAAGAAAGATGTTCTATGTTCTTGGATTGGAAGACTTAATATTGTTAAGGTAGAGTAAAATACAAAATTATAAAAAATACCAGGCTTAATGGTCTGATAAAGACTGATGGAACCTCTGAGACTATGGCTCTTAGACACCCTTTAAGCCTGGAGGTGAATTCACTCTTGTGGCTCAACTTTTGACCAAAGGACAGACGGGCCCTGGTAGCATAGTGCCTAAGGTACTTGACTGCTAACCAGAAGGCTGGTGGTTCAAAC